ATCTTCTCAGACTGACCAGCAGTTCCCATGCACAAGTCTCTACTATCTTCTGGAATGTTTAGGGATGCGCCAGCTTTCTCCGCTTGTCTCCAGAGCGAGAGCACCGTTTTCACCCCCCTTCCTCCATTCCAGTCCATCACAGATACTCAGTATTTGGCATTTCTTTCTAGTACCCTGAGAATTCAGTTTAATGTATTGTAGATGTTGGGCAGATCATAATTTAAAATAATTAAGTGATGGGATGTTTCATTCTATTCACAGAAGCTGCCTTATGTGTATAGAACCTGCTATCAGCACCAAACATCTTCATTATCAGAGTTTCCAGCTCTTTGGTTTTGATTTCATGGTGGATGAAGACATGAAGGTTTGGCTAATTGAAGTCAATGGTGCTCCTGCATGTGCCCAGTAAGCATCCTTCTAAACTTCCCCATGAATGTGTGAATGGTGCCATAATGTCTTCCTTGGAGTGTTTGGTAAAACTGTTTTGAACTGATAAAGCTGTCCATAGCCGGCGTTTGGTAGGTGGACCATAGGTGCCAGCTTTTCTTTCTTTCCCACAAGGCTGGCTTTTTATTTATTTGATTTATATAGTTGCCCATCTCACATTCATGACTCTGGGCTGCTTACAAAATTCAAATATAAACAATACCAACCCCCCCCTAAAATAGAATAACGATACAAGCATAAAAAGGTTAAAAACAATTAAAACAGTTTAAAAACCATACAATACAATCAGTGGAAGAGCACAATCAATTCAGGAACAGTACAACCATTTTACTGTTATATTACTCTGCACCACTATCTGATCCTCAGGCCAGATGGCAAAGCCATGTTTTCAGGCCTTTCTGGAAAGCCATCAATCAATGTTGCATTCTTACACTACTGCCAGGGTCACAGTGTTACAGCCTGCCCTACCACTCATGCCTACCTTGGATATTTCTCCCTCTCTTAACACATCTATTTTTTCCTTGCCTGGTGCTCCAAACAGCCCTGATTGGTTGGCTCTAGATGCCATTCTAAATTCTTACAATGCCCCAAAATATTTTTGTGTTGGGAATATTGTGAGATGGCTTAGAGGAGGCAAGATCCATTGGCCTGGTTGTGGCTTCTGCTCATTCTAGATAAGGCCGTCAAGAAAGGAGGTGGCCAACTGGAGAACCCTCTGCCTGAACTATCCTAAACTCTCCTTCCTCTCTTCTAGGGAAAAGATAAGGTGGGGAAATCAGATCACATTGGAACTATGTGGTAGACAGTAATAATTTAGGGGATCTACATGTTTTGTGCTTTCTTATGCTTGTATTATGCTCGATAGCTATGAAAAATGGGCAACAGAAGAGCTTTGGCTAAGGAATACATGGGAAGGACTTCTCTGTCATAAGCTGTTAATGTAGGAAGGGCCCTTTTATTTACTGGTTCATCTTGTCCTAGGACTGATCTATAGCTACTTTTCAGGGTGTTGTGCCAAAGAGATATTTTCCTGCACTGCACTGTCAGATTGATGCTTGTGTCTTCTGAATAAGAACATGTACAAAATAATACTCTACCATTGTTCTTGGAATCGCTTCTTAGAGTAGAGGAAAATGAGTGCAAGGCTGGCTGAGTTTGAGGTACTTACAGAAATATGGATAAAGACTTATTGGACAGCAAATGACCTCCATCTGTGGCATCTGTATGAATGGATGCCTTTCTTTTGCTTCCAGAATCTGCTTTTAAATCTTTTCCTGCTGGGTGTATTTGCAGGCAGAAGCACAAAGGAGGCCACAACTGTTGCGTGCTGATGAAAGAGAAATCCAGTGTAATCCCCTGAAATGCAAAAGGATCAGTTCAGAAAAGACTCCCCCAGTGATATGGTTTTATTTATCACTCTCTTCTCAAGTTTCCCCTACTTCACTGGAAAACTAATTGAAAGTTGTTCTTGTCTTCCCCTGTCACAAAAGGAAAGTGGAAGAAAGAGACTATGAACAACCACTAACCCTCCTTTGTGCCAAAAAGCTCAATTGGTATCTAAAGACAGTTGCATTTCATGCCTGTTTGTAGTAGCCCCAGATGCTATTTTCAGCAAGACTATCATGAAAACAAATGGCCCAGTGATAAAGAACAAGGGTCTTGATGAATTCCTAGATCCCTGCCCAGCTTGTCTCTCCACCTGCTGCCTGTGCATGTGTTTAATGCCGTTTATGGGACGGTTGTTGACATTCATTTTAGATCCTTGCAAGTGCTTGATTGATTGGGAGACTGAAATTTCTGCTCCTTCCAACACAATAATATCAAAGGATAAAATTTTCATCTTTCAGTGGAACCCTACAAACTTTATTCTGAGCCTAATTTAGATCAGCTAATGTATTATAAATAATAATCATAATGAAATTATGTAAACTCAGATCTCAACCATGATATTGTCCCTTGCAGCTGAATTAATTTATTAATAACACAGTGTAACAAAAACAAATTTAAAAAATTAGGTTATAGATAAACAGTGGAGTCTCTTACAATAATGTTAATAAGAATATTATTATTATTATTAATAATAATAGCAGCCAGTTTGGTCTAGTGGTTGAGGCACCAGGCTAGAAACCAGGAGA